GCAAAATGCTCTGGCTCTCGGGCTGGACCGGCTCCTCTTGCTGTGGAGAGAGTGCGGAGCAGCATTAGGGTGAACCTCGAGACCACCGACCCCTCTGCAGGGCTGGGGTGTCCCCGAGCAGCGGGCAGAGCTGGGGGGTGCAGAAACATCCTCAGCAGGGGGGAAACTGAGGCACAGCCCGGCCCTCTGGCTTGGCTCAAGGCTTGTGCCTGAGCTGCGGGTGTTTGGCAGTCCTACAGCCAGGGGAGGCTACGGTTTTCCCTGCCAAAAATGGGGGATGAAGCAGCAGGCTTGGGGAAGCGGGATGGGGTAGGAGCACGCCTGGGTAGCAGGAACCGATAGCTACAAAGCAGGTTCTTCTCTGCCCAGGCAGAAACATCCCCGGGGGTTTGTTGTTAACAAAGAAATGGGAGTGACGGGCTGGGAAGGGGAAGGCAGTCCCTTGGGAAAGGCTTGCAAAGGTGAGAGGAAGTGGGGGGGTCCAGGTCTCGGCTGATGCAGGAGCCCTCCCCGCATGGCAGCGCACCGGGACGAAACACGGACATCTCACCAGGTTGTTCTCCAGGGCCACCTCGACCATGGGGACAGCTTGGGAATTGGTACCTGCAATGGAGAGAGCAGGGCTGCAATCCCAAATCGGAGCCTCCGGAGCTCCCACCCAGCCCCAGCAGCAGCTGAGCCAGGAAAAACTTGCCCAGCAGCTGCAGCAAGGAAGGGGCAGCTCTGGTCTCCTTCCCATTTTCCAGCCCTTCAGTTTGGGATGGCCCAAGGGGTTTAGGAGCCTCTGGGGACCCAGAAATCAGCATCACCAGAGCCTGTCAGATTGGTGGGAGACCAAAAAGGGGCTCTGGCCATATAAGCAAAGTAGCAAATCTTGGAGCCATTGGAAGTAAGCACCCTACAAGAGTGAATTTGGGCTCGTTTTGCTGCAGGGAGGTGGCTCTGAACCCTGCGGGACCCAGAGCTGGGTGATGGCTTTCTGAGCTGGTCCAAGTCCCCGCTGCCTGTGGGGTGGCTGGATCCATCCCCATGCAAGTCCTCACCTGGGCGCCCCGTGACACGCTCCACCAGCGCCTGCAGCCTGGCTCTGCACTCGGCCAAGTCCCCGGGCTGCGCTTGGTCCC